GCAGCAGGTAAAGCCACTGCCTCGGTCACTTAATGCCTGGGAATAACTTGGTTACTTTCCTTTTGGTTATTCTCTCATGCCAGGACGAGGGCTGTGGAATGTGGGGCAGAGAGAATTGCATTCTTCCCTTCGTAAGTCCTTTCCTGAGAGTCAGTGTCTGGCCTTGGCTTTTGGTGGTTTGAGCCCATAGGCTCACGCCCTAGCTGTGGGGTTTCCATGTATGTTCCCTTCCTTCTTCTGCTATTAGTTAACCAGCAAGCTGGTTTTGACTGCCCGTTGTGTTCCTTGCTGTCTGCTAGGCAGCCTGGAGCAATAGAAGAGATAGTAAGAAGGCACCAGCATCTCTCCTTCCTCCTTTCCATTCTCTGAATTTTTGGTCTTTTGGAGTTTGGCACCTAAGAGCCAGTTTGACTAGTTCCTGCCCTGCCCAGCTTGGGCAACTCTACAGGGCCTCTTTTGGTTTAACCCTGCTGATCCTGCTCTTGTATTTACTTTTTATTGATAATCAACTCTTAGATAATGAGCAGGTACTTGTACATTTGAAGGACTATCTTGTGGGAGGTGGCATGGTAGAAAGGAAAGTGCATGGGATTTGAGAATCAGGAAGGGTTGGGTTCGAATACTGGCCTGCCTTCTCAGTACCTGTGTTACTTTGGCCAAGTTGCTTCACCTGTGCAAGCCTTAAGTTTCTCTATCTGTAAAATGGGATTGTTAGGGTTAAGTGACAATGTGCAAAAGTACCTAGCAGTAGACTTGGTGCATAATAGACTCTAAGTACATGTCAGTTTCTTTCTTCCTTTCTCAAGCCATGCTTTGTCAAAGTGTCAGGTCGATGTTGGGAGTCGTGAGCTCTGTCTTCATTTGGCTTCTTGAATAAGATATTTCTCCAACATGAGCCTTGGACAACTCGTGGTGAATGACAAAGCACCAACAGAACCTTTTAGCGCTGACATTCTGTGATTTTATGAGTCTATAGTTAGGTCTTCTGGTCGTTTTTGTGCTCCTGGTTACTCTCACGAGAAGATGGAACCGTTTTTCTCTTTTGACAAGAAATACTGTTGCTTCTAGAAAAAAAGGCTTATCATGGGAAGTGTGTCACATCTCTCTGTGGGCACCTCAGCTTCTTCCTTGGTGATGGAAAACAATCAACCCTATGTTTTCCATTCAGGGGGAATGGAAGCTCCTTTGAAAACCTTGGTGGCAGAAGAAAATTTGTACAAAAAGCAAGATGTTGGTTGACAGTGTCTTCATAAAACCATCAGTCATTTAACAGGAACCTGCCTTGTACCCTGCATTGTTCCAGAAAATTTAGAAGTCCCAGAAATGTACAGGTTGCCATGCATGCAACTGGAATCTCTTCTCTCTCCCTGCCCACTGCCCTGCTCTTCTATTCCTCCTCTCTCTTTACTGCTGGTGCAGCAATCAGGGTCACTTTGTGGGCTGTCGCTGGACCTGGTACCTTCTCTCACAAATTGCTGCACCTCCAGTGCAGTCAGCCCAGACAGTGTGTCTGCAACAGTAGTTTTCAAACCCGGTGGCACAGTGGAATCACCAGGGAATTTTAAAAACATATAGGTGCCTGGGCCCTACCCCAGATCAGTTAAAACCTTAGAGATGAAACATGAATATTAGTTTGTTTAAAAATCTCCCCAGGTGATTCACATAGCAGCCTTCCACCAACCTCTGTCTCCACTCCCCAGCTGCTCAGATACTCTCATCTCAGATGCTTTCTGTCCGTCTTCCTAGCCCATTCTGCAACTCCCTCTCCCCAGGTCCTTGGCCTCCTTTTAGTTGGGACTCAGTCCTTTCATGCTCCCACCACCAGATTCCTATCCTACAAGAACCCTGCCCCAGGTCATGGGAAATGCAGAGTCAAATGACACCCAGGTTTGAAGCATGAGCAAGTCTCCCAAGAAGTGTGGTTTGCCAATGGTGGATAGAAGCTGTGATGTTCCAGTACTCCGTGAGGTAGCAGGCATTCATGGACTGGTTTGGGAACTTAACCACCAGGCAAATAGTGTTTTCATTTAAAAATTGAAGAGTCTGCTGTGTAGAGGAATGAGATTCTACTCATGTCCTCAATGTGCTTAAAATATGATAAGAAGGTACTTAAACTCACAGAAAAAATATACTCTAATACAGAATCCAGGGCAAGATTTTGTTATGTAGATCAGTTGTTCTCAAACTTAGGCCTATTTAGGGATCACTTGGGAACATTAAAAAAATGTACATGTTCTGCCCACATTCCACTTGATTCTGATTCAGTGTTTTTTGGGTGAGGCTTGAGCCTGGGCCTTTTAAAACAAGCTCCCCAGGAGAGTCTGTTGTGCACCAAAGTTGGAGAAGGATCACTGTACATGGAATCAGTGAGGAGAGGTCAGGGCAGGCTGCAGTCAGTGGAGCAGGCTTTGTGAAGTGGGATCTTCTTGTCCTTTCCCTATAGGAGAAGAGGCTGTGGCCAGGAGAGTCAGCTTGCTAGTCTCTGACACCCTGCCCCTCCCCAGGTGCTGCTTCCTGGCATTTCTGCCCTTACATCTGGCTGCTGAGGCTCTCAGCTCAAGCATGTTGGCACATTCTTCCTTGGCCAGGAAGTGTCTGCCTGGAGCTGCCACCCTGGCAGCAAGCTGTCACCATTAATCTTCTAGGTCCAGTAATTGGAGTGGACACTGAGCCATCACTCTGGATCAAGCCTCAGTGAATTTGGGGCTGTTTTCTCCTGTAATTCATTTCCCCTTGGGTGGTGAGGAAGGTGGGGGGAAGCTGCCTTTTTAGACATTCGTCATATTTTCCTGGCTTCTTATGCTGGAGAAGAGGTGCCCATGAACCTAGGAGCAGACAGTAGGTGGGCTGGGGGTGAAGGACAACCCCAGGCTCCTGGGGTAACTGGCCTGAAGAGCTGCTTCTGTCTCTTTCTCTCGGAAGCAAGATTGTTGAGGGGAGCAAGGGACTGAGGGTGGAGCAACCTTAGGGGGTGGGGAGGATGAAGTAGTTGAGATCTGATCAGCTCCTATCTGTCATTGCTTTGGAGTTAGTATCCGAATGGTTCCCCAAATCCCACTCCATCACTCATAATTCAAGATAGGCCTCTGGAGGCCTTTGGGCTGTGGTTTGGGGTGAGGAGAGTGAGTTGTGCAAGACTAGCCTGAGACTTGGCATCTGCATCTTGTAATTAGTATGCGAGTCGGGGGATAGGAACCACCATGGCTCGGTGCTCTCTGTGTATTTTCATGTCATTCTCCCAACAAGCTTATGAAACTAGGTTTATAATCCCAGTTTTATAGGTAAAGAAACTTGCCTACAGTTATAGGGCAGTAATGTCACAGCTAGAATTCCAACAGCTCAAGCTTTTTAAATTACACTGTGCTGCTTCTAGGGCCTTGGAGTGGAAGTCACTGATTATGTGACCTTGGACAACTCCCCTCACTCACAAGTAGTTTTCCTCAAGTGCAAAACTGGAGGTAGGGGTGGGCCGTGTGCTCAGTGCACAGCAGAGGCCTGTGGCTCTGTGCATCTTGGGAGGCTGGGCAGTCATGGGCCTGCTTTTGGCTGTCTCACTTCATGTGAAGCTGAGTCTTTGCCCAGAGTGGTTCACATTCTTCTCGGGGACAGTAAGCCACTTACTGGCCTTTTGGGGGTGCTGTGGCTCCTTTTCGGACTCTGATTTAGGGGCTTACAAGGCCTGTCTCTCTTTACCCAACAGAGGTGTCCTAAAAAAAATAAATACAATCACTGTGTAATTGAAAAAAATGTATAAATCACATCATCCGTATTTGAAATGCTAATATGGTTACCCAGTGGCAGCTTTTCCACTCACTGGCTTCAATTGCAAAACAGGGGGTGATGTCCTTTCTAGAACTCTCTCTCTAAAATTCTAAGGCTCTGAGAATCCTTTTAGCATGGTATTACCCCTATCCATTTTCTTGCGAATAGGACATTTCACACATTGCATTTACTCCAAACTGATATCTGTTAATTTAGATAATTGGCCCTAGAAGGACTCTTCCCTCCCATCTAAGATATTTCTTAAGGGCAGTCTTCCCGAATGACAGGTCATTTTACTGTTAACCCTTTGGGAAATTTTCTAAATTCCCATTATCTAAGATTCATCTGTTTATTGCTTTGAGATGACCTAAGGTAATGGGAGCTCAAGGTGGTTCTTTAAGCTTTTGAAAACAGTTTGAGGTCGCCAGGAGCTATGGACAGGTTTTCAGCTTTTTAGTGGAGTGGATATTCCAAGTTACAAATTAGAAACTCCGCAACTGTGATTTCTTGGCCATTTCTTTGGAATGCTACCATCCCTGTTTCATGGCTTCATTTCTGACGATAGAGAAATTAGAAAGCCAAAGAGATTGTGCCAAGGTAAGTTTCTTGCCATTGTAATAGTACATTTACTTTGTGTCCTATAGTGTATGGACGTCATTCCATTTGGTACTCGTAACAGTCTCGTTAAATAGACTGAACAGCTATATTTTTTATTTCTGCATTGTGTGAATCCGTATCCCGTTTATTATGAAAACAATTTGAAGTGGCATAAAACAGGACCAAGCCGACAAAGAGATCAGAGTAGTCAGGACAGAAAAAAATAATAACTAACACTTGTTGAGAGTCATCTGTGTTCCAGGGATGATACTAAGTGCCCTTAAATGTATTAACTCACCCTTACAACTGCCTTGTGCTCAGAAGGGAAAACTGAAGTTTAGTGGTTAAGGAACTTATTCACAGTCAAATGGTGGCGCCCACACTTTTAACCACTGTACTAGGATACTTCTCTATAATAGATAAGGCCGTGGGGTAATGTGTAAGCACACATATCATGGCAAGAATTACATGTTTTGCAGGGGAGGAAAGTGAGCTAAAGAATGAGTAAGTGACTTGCTGAAGGTTGCAAAGCCAGTAAGTGGCATAAACAGAACTAGAATTATGGTCTCCTGTGTGTCTTAGTGCTGTTTCCACAGCCTCATATAGCATCTTTTTAAAAATGAAACACATATTTCTTTCAGAACCTGGCAGTTGGGGCAGGAGCTGTTGGATCTTTGCAGCTGACCTATATCTCAAAGGTAATATTGGCCTGGAGCTCTGGGAATCCATATTCTGTAAGTAGGTTTGTTATCTATCCAGGAGGAACTGTCAAATCCTTTGGGCTTTAGCATATGGGGGTGTTGCATGGGCAGTAAAGTGCTCTCCCTTCCTCATGGCTGCCTGTGAAGCCCTGCATCTGGGTGGAGTATGGTCAGCAGGTTCTTGGAGGGTGGGCCTGCAGCCTCGGACTCCTGGGACACAACAGTCAGAGATGTTCTTAGCTTCGGCAGAAGAGGTATAGGCGGTGGGGATAGGAGTGGAACGTGACATTTTTTGTAATTGGGGCAAGAAGGAACACGAAAACAACAACAAAATAAAAACCCCAGTGACTGAAGGATTCTCCCAAAGGGTATAATTAAATAGGAGCAGCTCAGAAAGAATTGGGGCTGTGTGGAATTTTATCTATCACCTGGACAGGATTACGGCTGATGGAAGGCTATAAATGCCCTGAAAACGTACTAAGATGTACCAGGAAGCCATTCAGCAGTCAGATAACTGCTGGAGAGTCTGGCAGGTGGGCTGACAGGCCACCCCCTGGTCTAGTTTGTGCAGACATTGTGAGAGCAGTCCCTCTTTGGTGCTGAGACCTGGGGGTGAGGGCTGGGGCTGGTTTTTGATGCCCCCATGTAGCTGCTGGATTCAGCTTCTTTTAGCAGCCCCTTCCTGGAGCAGGCCCCAGGACTGACCCATGATACAGCAATGATAAAAAAAAAATGGCCAGGGAATTTAGATCCTTGCCAGAAAGAGGAACTCTTTGTCCAGTGAGAAGAGCCAGGTGGCACCCAGCCAGCACTGTTTCAGGAAGTCCTGCTCTCCCCATGCACCCTCACTTCAGGCCTCTTGGGGACCTCTGCTTTTTTTGTCCAGGATCTCTAGCCCTTAGGTGTTTCAAATGGGATGGAGGGGACTCTAATCTGAGGGACTTCATCTCTCTATCTCAGCTGGTCAGCGGGCGGATATGGAGGTGGAGGCAGCTGCAGCGGCTGCAGGAGAGTCTGGCAGACACAGCTGGGTGCAGAGAGGCAGACACACAGGGCAGTGTCTGAGCAGATTAGAGAAAGAAGATAATGACCTGGGGGAAGGGGGACAGGCCTTTGAGAGTGCAGCTTTGTGCATGGCTCATGGTAAGAAATGTGGCTGCCTCGTGGACCAGGCAGGCCAGGGGCTTGGGCCCTCCCTTCTCCTGTCTGGACTTGCTGTGAGCTCATTAGGTCATTTCTCCAGGAAAGAGAATTCGGAGAGGAGGAGCAGAGAGCCTCAGTATTAATGAAACCCCAAACCTGCTTCTGTTTGAGAGGGTTTGGGAAGTTTTTTGTTTTGTTTGTTTGTTTGTTTGTTTAATGGGGGAAGAATGACTATAATCTGCTGAATTGTGGTTTATAAATGCAGCTCAGATGGGGTTTTTAGAATTCTCAGGTTTGGAGGCAACCTTGTTTTAAAAGGATGGACCTGCCTTTTAGTCCTTCATGGGAGAGGCAGGCCCAGATGGGTCTTTTGAAAAACCCACAGCTGCCATGGGTCAGGTTACACAGAGCTGAGGGCCTTTAACTCCTGCCTGACCCAATGCCAGAAAGCAGGGTTTTCCCAGAAAAACATTTAGCCATGGTACCATTATCCAATTCAGCATTCCAGGTTATTTATTGTTAACCCCTAGGCATTCCCTTCCAGAGTAAAGCATTTAACCACAGTTTTAGCCTTGTTTGTGGTATATGTGTGGCCTCTGTTCATAGCTCTTTTGTGGGGACTAGTGTTGGGGAGATGGGGTCCTTTAGAGCAGGGGCCCCCAACCCCTGGGCCGCAGACAGGTAGCAGTCTGTGGCAGATTAGGAACTAGGCCGCACAGCAGGAGGTGGGTGGCAGGCAAGTAAGTGAAGCTTTATCTGTATTTTCAGTGCTAGCATCACTGCCTCAGCTCCACCTCAGATCATTAGGCATTAGATTCCCATAGGAGCACTGGGCCCTGCTGCCAAAAAGGTTGGGGACCACTGCTTTAGAGAGGCCAACAGAGATGAAAGTTCTTGACCTGATGTCATCCAGGGCATCAGTGGCAGCACAACCAGTTCTTGGGCAAACTAGAAAATAATTGATGCTGGCCTTTGGTGCCACCTACCTTCTCACTCTGCCTGATGGCCCTTCTCTTCTACACAGCCAACCCACTACCCTACCCTCAGCTTGTGTCCCTTTCTGTCAGGGCTTTTGCCTTCAGTATCTCTAAGGAAGACCCCCTCCCCCCAGAACAGTGGTTTCTGTCAACAAAAATTACTCCCCAAATATTAGAAAATGGAAAGATTTCATTCAGGTGAGTAGTTTGCAAACTGGGGAGATGCAGCTTCTGACAGAAACTAAAAGTGTGTTTCTGACAGAAACTAAAAGTGTGTTAAATTTTACAGAGAAAGTTCCTGCCCAGTTTCCCAGTTAGATCTGTTTTATGTAAGCGTATCCAAATTTGTGCACTTCTTAGCGGTGCAAAACATGCAATCCTGATTTGTCAGCATTACGCATCCTGATTGGTTGTTATGGAGCAGTTTTGATTAGTTGGTTTAAATATTAAGAGGATATAATTATGTAATTCTTATTGGACAATGCAGGTCTCAGTTCGTTGGTTGAAAGACAAAACCAGGAACTCCCTTATAATAATTGACTCAAGGGGAGTAATGGAGCAGGGCATAATGTAGGAAGCTGAGTTCAGTCTGAGGTTCTTTCCAGTATACAGAGTACGTGAGAAGCCCCTGTCAGCAGATGGCCACTAGACTCATTATTTATAAAATTTGGGCCCTCAGTTGACTATTAGGAGTCCATCTCAGCAGATAAATTCCTTCTCAGGGTTCATATCAAATGAATCTTTTATCTCAGGGCCCACATGCTTAACCTTTTGGATGGGTCTTTTCTTTGGAGAGTCTTATGAAAAGTATGGACTCATTTTCCTGGCAAAGTATGTATAGTGTGCATACACTGTGGTTTTTGCCTGTAATTTTAGGGCTCATTGACCCCATGATTGGTCCAGACACCCCTACTTAGAGCCCCTCCAATCATTCTTTGTAGATAGATGACTGCTTCTCTTGCTCTTGGTGCCACCTCATGGGGCAGGGTCACTCTGGACATGGGTTCAGAGTTTCACCAGAGCTGTAAGACCTTGTTCTGCTGCTGCTGCTCTGATTGAAGGGCCCCAGCTTCACTTCCGGCCAAAGGCAGACAGGGTGGGGCTGGCTAGCAGAGCCCTGCCACTGATGAGCTGGCTGCTCCTGTGGTCTGTTTTTGATCTGATAAGAGCAGGTTCCTGAGAGTGTTTCACTGTGGAGCGGCCTCATCTGTGTCACTCTCTGAGACCCGTGCTCATTTCCCCCTTCACATCCCCGACCTCCTCTCACTGCTTGCATAATCTAGGATCTGCTAGTCAACCACAGTTGCGCAGGTACTCAACTGTGGCCACCTTGGAGCATGCAGATAGTTGCGCTTGGCTTCTCTTACTAAAGTCAGCCTGTCAATCATACTTCTTCAGGATTTTCTGCTCCTTTACTACATCTGAAGGAAGCTGCACAGCCTGGCTTGATTATCAACATGTGGTGGGTGTGTGTGTAGAGGGGTTATGCTTCCCAGGGGCCAAGGATTCTGCTTTCACAGTCACCAGGATGTCGGGGAGGCCAGAGCTACCTGTCCATAGTAAATGAGACCCCTCACTTTAGTCCTTCTCTCCAAGGGGGAGATGATGTCATCTTCTTCTTTCGCTATTCTGTGACTATAAGAAGGGGTCTAGTAATTTCATTTCAGCTCTGTTAATCAGGGTACATCAGGGCAGAACTAGAACTGACGTTAATTTAGCAAGGAGCTGCTTTGCCAAATAATCCTTCTGTGGTAAGCCATGAAGCATGAGGCAAATTATAGATGTGCATGCATACAATCATGCATACCCCCTGACTGAAAACTGGAGAACAAATACAAACAAACAATAAAAGAACCAGGCAATCTCTTTGAAAGCCTCAGTTCCTGTAATAAGCACGTGCATAGCATTTTTGCATTATAGGCAGGTGATAAGTCATGGTCAAGTGGACTGTGTCATCCAGCCAGGGTGAAAGTATCCATTGATGATGCCCTTTATAGTTGATGGTAACTGTCAGGTTCTGGGAGAAAGAGTCTCCTTATAAGCTGGAGAAGGTCTCAGAGAGCCAGCTTTTCATTGTTATTCCAAAGCCAAAAGTAGAAGAGCGTGAGATAAGTGGGTTCTAAGGGTCGGGATGGCTAAGACAGTCCTATGATGGTCAGGGTGATACAGGAACTAAGGGCA